CCTCCAGGGAGACTATAAGTTGATTACTTTTCTTACTCCACTTGTATATAAATGCAGAAATCTCCCTTTTCATCTTGAAAATGTCTGTGTATCTACAGGGACACAAGAGCCCATGGGAACCCAAAGACCAATGCTTTGTCTTTCTGGTCACAGGAGAATGGCTTTATCCASATAACATTTTCATAAATGGATCCAGAGGCCAAAGCCATAAGCATAGGATTTAGCAAGAAACMGAGGAGCCACACCTTACCTGAAAAGCACTGGATGGTCAAAAGTGCTGGGTAGAGAAGACTTTCTCTGTTAAGTATTTTTTTGGAACAGTACATTGGATGTTTTCCAAATAAAGCATGAGTGACACTTTGAGTTTGTTCTTTGACTTTCTTCATTATKTATTTCACAGAATKTTATTGTACTTGGTAGAGATCACTGATATTAGAGAAAYATGAGCATGTGAGGATGTAGGTCAGCTTAGCTCATGCTCTATCACTGATAGGGAGGATGACGGCATAGAAGGTTTCCTTCTTTGATTATTAGAGGCATAATGCAAGCATCTGAATTTGTGCCAACTTCCAGAAGGTAAAAGGAAGGATGCCTTGTCCTTGACCTTAATGAGTTTTGATCCTCCTAGGAGAGATGGCTACGTTATGAAACTAGTCAGAGAGACAAAACCATGAAAAAGGAATTTATAGTATTCTCGGAGAATCCGTGGGAGGAAGACAGCTTTCAAATCAGAAAGTCAGAATCATATTGTAAGAACAGAAGGTCATGTGGAGGCRGCTAATTTGATATCTGAAGCTGAGCAGAGCTGTGGCTGAGGTTCTATGTACTGAGACAGCAKGCTTGGATTAAGGTTAACCTAAATGAGAAGTTAGGTTATTCCTGAAGTCCTATTCCTGAAAAGCAGTATCAACTTTACCTAGGAATTAGTTAGAAAGCCATATCATCCTACATCTACAGAAATGGGCTGTGCCCAGAAATCTGTGTTTTTAACAAGTTCTTTGGTGATTCTGATGCATACTCTCCTTTGAGAACCAATGGTCTAGATGAAAAGAAAATTCTGAAGAGATGCCCACACTATATATTGAGAAAAAAATAAGAGCTTCAAACTTTGGGAAATATTTTGCATCTTACATTCTAGGTGCCCATAACAACGTACCCTCCAGATCCAACTATAAGCAATGATGTTCTCCCTGGTTCTGAGGAGAACACAGAAGAACTTGACAACTACTTCACCAGTCAGTTCCTTGCTAGTTAAGAAGATTTATAGAGAAAAATGCTCCAGTTTGTGGGGCATCATGTCTAGGGTATGGTTAGATATTCCTTCAGTTTCTCTGTCTGATAAACTWAATTTCATTAATTTCCTCCTTTGCCTGAAAACAAAGATTTTTTTTGATACTTACCAAATTCACACTCAAAAAAGCTATGGCACAGGTGTCTTTAGTATTTATTGTTTTCACCTTTAACTTGCTTGGAGCTTTTGTGGGGAGAGGGTACTTGGGATTGAATGTAAGGGAAATAATATGAGACACAAAGAGAAGATGCAGAGGCAGGAAATATGGCAGAGTGGCAGAATGGCCAAGCTGCCAGCTTTATTTATATCAATAAGCTACTTTTAGGTCATTGGCATCAGTAGACATTATTATTCATTGTATTAGTAGGCAGGTTACAGACTAGTAACATTATGCAGCTTATTTCTCAGTTACATACTAAATTGCAATGTGCAATGTTAGGAGCTTTGTGTAGTTCTCAAGAAAGTCCATTGTATAAAGTTATTGTTATGTGGTCAAGTTTAGGCTCAGTGAAACATTGTGGTTGTCTCACAAGAGAGTTCCTTTATTCCCAGGAACTGTGTGCCTGAGATCAAAGTGAAGTTGATAAGACTCTACCACTGAGCCACATTCCAAGCCCAAGACAACTGTCTTTTTTTTGAGTGGGGTTGGGTATCAGGGATTGAACTCATGGACACTTGACCACTGAGCCACATTAACAGCCCTATTTTGTATTTTATTTAGAGACAGGGTCTCACTGAGTTGCTTAGCTCCTCGATTTATCTGAGGCTGGCTTTGAACTTGCGCCTCCTGCCTCAGCCACCCCAGCCACTGGGATTATAAGCATATGCCATCATTCCCAGCTTTGTTTTGATTTTTTATCACTGMTAAATTGTTTCTTTCCTGCATCATTCAAACTTTTTCTGAGTGCTAAGCAATGGTGCTAGGCAAGCAAGATAAARAGGTTCTAAATAAGAGAGGATAATTTCAATAACCAGTCTCATATGTCTAAAATATCCTTATTGAATGTCTATTATGTTACTAAATGCCTAGTATGTTTCTCTGTTATGATAAAAAGATAAAATTCCATTTATGGGCTTTTTGGAAAACAAGAAACATTTATGATTGTAGTCATGGTTTTTTAGTGCTTTACTAGCTACATTCTTGGAGTTTTTGAGGATCATACAAAGGGGAAAATTGAACAGGAAAGGCATTAAAGATGAGTAATAAGAAAAACATTCTAGGAAGTACAATCTTGGTGAAGATAA